CCTTCCCTTCCCTTCCCTTCCCTTCCCTTCCCTTCCCTTCCCTTTTCTCATGGCAAAACAGGTGAAAAGAAACCAACAAAAACATCCATTTAAGGTGCCCAAGGAATTTCCATTCACCCAGAATTTTCCTAGTAGCCCTTCATTTCTACTTACATTGCTGCATGTGTCCCTCCCTCAGGTTGTGTTCGACACTTTCGCTGCTATGCAGGTAAAGCCATGAACTTGGGAGGACAAACATGGTGGAACCTGAGAAAAACTTGCTTCCGAATTGTTGAACACTCGTGGTTTGAATCCTTTATCATATTCATGATTCTTCTGAGCAGTGGAACGTTGGTTAGTGTAACACAATTTTGTATATATATTTGGAGGCATTTTTAGTTTGATTTGCATGCAGCAAAATGTTTCCAGCAAAGGAGACAAGATAAGTCTTCAAAGTCATCAGGAGGAAAATGAAAGAGCCTTTGCACAGCAGTCATTCACTACTGTAATTATCACAAATTTGTTGCTTTTGTTATTGCAAATTATGATTGAACCTGAGTAAATCCAAAAATACAAAAGCTCAGAAGCTATATCTATTCTTACTGCATATTAGCTTTTAATGACTTTCTCTGGCAGATACGTGAAATACACGTATTGTACACATAAAATATATATAATGTCATACAAACAAATAAATGACTCTTACTTAATCTTCCAATTCCCTTGAGAGCATGAGCTTTTTGAACAAGATTTTTAAAAATATTCTTTCCTGCTAGGAATGTGCAAGTGTGTGTGTCCACACAGAACTCCATGATACAGAGAAAGGACAGAAAGAGTTAAATTTCTTAGGAAAATTTAGGAGAAAATGTAGGAGATACTCAGATCTGAATCAATCACATATTGACTAAAAGGAGACCCAGTGATTCTAAATTCATTATATGAAGCTCATCTTACTTTTGCTGTTTTATCTATATATTATAATTTCAGGCATTTGAAGATATCCATTTAAGCAAGAGAACACGTATCAAAATTATGTTGGCATTTCTTGACAAAATATTCACTTTCATCTTTGTTCTGGAGATGCTCCTGAAATGGGTGGCTTATGGCTTCAAGAAGTACTTCACCAACGCCTGGTGCTGGCTGGACTTCCTTATTGTACATGTAAGTTCTGCCCTCAGCGTGTGCAGGAAGGTCCTAATCCAAGATATAGCAACAGAGCAGCTGATTCTTTTTAAGATGTGAATTTAAGACAGCTTGAACGAGTAACTCTCTTCCAGGAAGCATTGAATTCTTATCTTTTGTTAATGCTGATGTGGGGGACATCACACTCTGGACGCTGAAGCCTTTTTCACAATTATCTAAATATCTACATCCAATCCAAGTTTGGAGAAATTATGTTGAGCAAAAACTAGCACCCTTGCATAGAGTATTTAATCACTGGTTTCAATGGTGAGCAAACTTCATCCTTAAATTCTGAGATGCAGAAAATATGCACTCGAGTTTACAGGCTGCTCTTTTCCACTTTCATCAATAAGGTGGTGCTGATAGTGATGATTATTTTGAACCTCAATAAAAGAACAAGATACCTGAATTTTGCTAATACTTTCTTTTGTGTCTCTGTTTAGATCTCTTTAATAAATATCATAGGGAGTTCACTTGAGTATATGAAATCTCTGAGGACTCTCCGAGCTCTGAGACCCTTGAGAGCATTGGCACGATTTGAAGGGATGAGGGTAAGAGAGATCATGAATCAAAGCCTATAGTAATAACCACGTAACAGCATCATTTAACTCTGATGTCTCTTTACGAGGCTGGCAGGCCTACACCAAACAAAGTTCAAAGTCTACAAGACTTTTTTTTTTTGATAAAGGGCCATTTGTTGGGCTACTCTGAAACTATGTGCTTCTTATAGATTTTTTTTTTATGTGCTTGGACCTGGCCATTGCTAAAATTAGTTCTAGACCCAGGAGAACTCTGCTCTAATGTCATTCAATCATTCTTGTCTTCTTGTCTTACTGATTTGACCAAAAACAAAAGAAGAACCATGAACACAATTTTCATTTTTAGGTCTGTTAGAAAGCTAATTCAGAAAAAAAGTGAGTTTTTTATTGGATTGATTTACAAGAGCAGTAGACTATTAAGTGGCACTTCATCCAAATTATTATTATTTCTTACAAAAAAAGCACAAGTATGTCTCTGTAGATTATTTGCTATCTTTTCCTTTGAAAGAAAATGCGGAACTTAGATATGACTTTAATTACAAACCCACCATCACATAAAAGCAGAGAAATTCTCTTAACTAGTCCTGTGCAAAATACATCTGTGCACTGTAATGTGAAACAGTAATAATATTCACAACAGAGTTTGGGCAAAATTAACTTCTAAGTCTATGGAGTATAATGGGTATGTTAGGGTGAAAATACATAATCTATAATGTCACTGCTGGACATTTACATGGGAATACAAAAACACTGATGATGAAAGGTATTATGTTTGGATATTGTTTGGAAGTGAAAATGAACTTTCTCTGCTTGCAATGTTGTCCCTGTGAGGGCAGAAATTAATACCTTTTTATGAAAAAGAAGAAATAGTTACTTAAAGAAAGATGGGCTCAATTATCTGTTTGCTGAAATGAACTGTTATCAGACAATTTAAGTCATCCTTGGTCATCTCAGTGAAGATGAAATTTTTTATTCCTTTTCATTTGGCATTTCATTGGTATTTTCATTGGCATTTCATTGCCAGTCATGATTTTGCCTAATCATAGAATCATAGAATCCTTAAGATTGGAAGGAAACCTTAAGATTACCCTTATAAATCATCTAGTCCAACCTCCCTGCACACACTGGGTCAAATGGAGCCCATCTTTCTTTAAGTAACTATTTCTTCTTTTTCATTTCATCAAAGGTGGTGGTCAATGCTCTTGTGGGAGCTATACCTTCCATCATGAATGTCCTACTTGTCTGTCTCATCTTCTGGCTCATCTTTAGCATCATGGGAGTGAATCTGTTTGCTGGAAAGTTTGGAAAATGTGTCAACTTGACAGACGAAGATTCAGAATTAAATAGTTCTATTAATGACATAACAGACTGTAAAACTTACAATAATACAGGAAAAATATACTGGGTCAATGTCAAAGTGAATTTTGATAATGTTGGCTCTGGTTACCTGGCTCTTCTTCAGGTGGTAAGTGTCATCTGCCCACAGTAGCCAGGATGGAACTTGCATCTAGCCAAACCCTAATTCACCCCTGTAGCTGATGGGAAAGAGTGGTCTCATAGAGCCTCCTTTTCCCTCATACCTGACTGTTCAAATAGTAATTTTGTTAGAGCACATGGAAAAATGTGGGATATTCTCAGTGCAGATAAACTGAGCCCTCTTTGTTCAGATTTGCTCAGCTGTGAGGTTGCAAGGCCTTCAGGAGCCCATGCAGTGAAGGACTGGTCTGGCAAGAACCTTGTATAACATGTGCTGTCCTTCCCTCACAAGCTTTCCTGCCCTGAAGGCAGAGGATGTCCCATGCAGAGCATGGACAAGTTTCTCCCAAGTCAGGATTCAGTGCAATGTGCATGTGCCCACACCACAGCCCGTTTCCCCAATCAGTTTTACTTAGATATTGCAGATGGTATGAAGACTTTTACCCAAAAGTTCAACACCGTTTCCATGATGTTCCTCTCTCTAGGCAACATTTAAAGGCTGGATGGAAATTATGTACGCAGCAGTAGACTCACGAGAGGTTAGTCACTACTTCTAAACTGCAGCTCTTCCGTTTTCTGTCCTGCTTTTGTGATTTTTACATATTATTAATATCTTCCATATGTCTGTGCTGAAATTTTCCAGTAATTATTTCTGTCATCTGATGCAAACATTTCATATAGGAATGACCCGCAACATCACCATGCTAACCTGCTCTGCTGGTGAGTGGGATTTGACTCCAGGCCCAGGAGCCTAAATTAATTTATCTATGGTGTAAAGGTCCCTGTAGCAGCTCAGCATCCATACATCTCTTATGGTTAATGGAGATCTAGTCAATATGCCCGAAGGATCTAGATCAGCTCATCCCAGATACCTATATTGATCAGATGAATGCCTCTCTAAACTCCAATGACTGCTAAATGGATCACTGTCAGCCAGCAGAGAAGTTTAAATTTGTTCTTTTGGCTTTATTTTTATCCCTGACTGCCTTTATGATGAGAAGAAAAAATAATATATAAGATTAGAGTTTTCAATAATTTGCTTGATTTTTCAAGTGCTGAGCACTTTACAGCTTCCTTGGAAGAATTTGAAATTTGGTTTACTCTTATGGAGAAATATGTCGAGAATGTCTAATTCAATAACTGTTTCTGATGTTACTTTAGTGGGACCAACTAAAACTGGCAGTATCTTAAGTCAGGTTTCTAAAAAGAAAAGATTTAAAAGAATCAGTTGTTTGGAGTAGAAAAAAAAAAAAAGTGGAAAATAAAGGTAAACTTCATTATCCATTAGTGGAAGAATAAATTTTGTTCTGCAAATATTACTTCCTTCCACAATTTCATGCCTCTTCCTCTAGGAAAACGTATCAAAATTTGTGTTAAGCTTTACTGATCATTATGAACGATACCTACTTCTGTCAGCCTTTTTAATAGGGCTGTAAGTCTTAGTTTCTACTGGGATCATTTGGTAAGATCATCTGCAAAAATACTATTCTTAATTGAGGCCATGTTGCTGTTGATTATTTTTCACTTTGCTTTTCATTTTTGCAGAAAAATGAACAGCCCAAAATGGAACATAACCTATTCATGTATCTCTACTTCGTGAATTTCATCATCTTCGGATCTTTCTTTACCCTGAATCTCTTTGTTGGTGTTATTATCGACAACTTCAACCAACAAAAGAAAAAGATAAGTATACTGGTGGTGTTTCCAAGCATTGACTATATCTAGCATACTGTCATTAGTTTACAGAATTTTTGCTAAACATGACATCTCAAACATCTATTTTTCATTTACAATAGATTTTATAATAAAGTTAGCAGAAGTAACATTGCATGTGATATTCTTCATTTCTTTTCGCCTATAACATGAACACACGACTCTTTCCCAAAGTTTTAAAGACCGTGGAGTTCCAAAGTGCATTAAAACGTTGCCGCTACCCTTGGTGCTGAGCACTGTGGGGGCACTATTTACTTAGAAGGGGTTGGAGACAGATGCTGTGATAAGTATTTTGTATATTTATCAAGAGCAGGATGTGGGAAACCAGGAACGGGGTTATTCTAATCCAGGTTTTCATTACTCTGTTGCTTTGAGGCTTTCTGAGCTTTCCAAGTTTCACTGCAGAGTTTCTGTTCTCTCAGATATAGGGTTTATGCTACTATATTTCTTTGCGGTTTATTGCAGATTATGAAAATGTCAGGTATCCTGGCATACCCAACAAGACATGAAAAATAAAGAAATATTAACTTTCAGTATTTTAGTCTTCTTAGCTACAATACTGCTGTTTTTTTTAATCAACAATAATCTTTATATACTTAGGTGGGGAAGATATTTTTATGACAGAAGAACAGAAAAAATATTACAATGCAATGAAAAAACTCGGATCCAAGAAACCTCAAAAGCCTATCCCAAGGCCACTGGTAAGACTGTCTTAATTCCTCCAATGAAAAATGCATTACAAAATTAGCTTAATTCACTGAAAAGTGCCTACATAAATATATTGTACATTAATTATTGATAGTATCTTTACATTGGTATTAAAATTGTGCCCTTAATGTCTATTCCATATTTTAAAAAATGCATTGAAAAGTTTTACCAGTTAAATATTAATTTTGTGCATAAACATTATTGGATTATATATTCACCTTGGAGCTGATTAAACGTCAGGATAAGAAGGGAGTCCAGTGTCTTTTTTATATTCTACTTTCTTAAATATCTCTGCCCTTTTCACAACTAAATGGCTCTGAAACATAAAAAAAAAAAAAGGTGTTAGTAAGTATATAAAGATGAATGTCCATTTCTTTTATAGCTAATGCTAGATATATTTTCTTCCTACAGAACAAATACCAAGGGTTCCTTTTTGACATTGTAACACGTCAAGCCTTCGATGTCATCATCATGATTCTCATTTGTCTCAATATGGTCACCATGATGGTGGAAACGGATGACCAAAGTGAAACAAAGTCTTACGTTCTTAATAAAATCAATATACTTTTTGTTGCCATCTTTACTGCAGAATGTGTATTGAAATTGGTGGCTCTGAGGCAATACTATTTCTCAAATGCTTGGAACATATTTGATTTAGTTGTTGTGATCATGTCACTTATTGGTAAGTAAAACTGAACTGGCAAATTATTTACTAACTATAATTCTAATCAGAAAAAAAATCAGCTGTGAAAAAATGTTGCAAAGGAAGCATAATGTTGAAAAGTGCAGTTATATAGTTTAGAAAGAAGATAAGAAAGAAAGAATATCAGAGGGTAAATAGCTACCATTTCATAAAAATAGCATAAAATAAGATTTTTAAAAGTTCTTTTTTTTCAATAAAAACAATATTTAAAGAGAATATTGTGTTATATAAATCTTTTGTAACAGTTATTTAGCTTGTTTTTTCCCCATCTGAAAGGCAGATTTAATGATCCATGGTACCAATACCACTTTATGTGATAATTTCAGCTGTTACAGATTTAGTGCCATGATTCTTAACCAATAAGTCTTCAATCAGATAAAAATTGTTTCTCTTTGTCATCTGTGCTTGTAATAAAAAAATGAAATATATACAGACTATAGAGTTCAGAATGAGAATGAAGAGACTATAGCAGGATTCACTTTCCTGTATCTCAGGCATAGCTAATTAAATCTAGGCTCCACATCCCCTAAAAAAAAGAAGAAAAAAAAAAGGAAAAAAAAGCATTAACTTTTATTTCAAGGGATCTCAATGGAAGAATGAGGGAAGAATGAGGTGAAGAGCTGAAATCTCTTCTGTCAGTGTAAATAATCTCTTCTGTCAGTGTGCTCTTCTGTCAGTGTAAATAATCCTAGTGCTAGTATTGCGAACATAGCAAAGGACATTTTCTGGAAGAAAATTTTTTATTTTCTTTAATATGAGTTGCTTTTTGGGCAACAATAGCATCCATGTATAGCTATGCTCCTGAATGACCTGAAAGCTGTTGTAGAATGGTATTCATTTTTGTGTTTGTCTCTTCATGCTTATCTTAATGATGGCCATGACATCATTTTTATTTTGTGTGTTAGCTCTGTAGTGTCAGTGTTTGAGGCTACAAATTAGAATACAAGTGCATAACTTGCTGAAGTGTATACCTTGCTAAAGCATCCATGTAACCATTACCCACAGACACTGGCTCCTATGCATATTTAAATACTGTGCATAAATACCGTGCATGGAAAAGTGTTTGCCATCCTTAGTGCAAAAGAGACTAGCTTCTGGTGGCTGAAGAACGCAGGCCATAATTGTTGACCTCTGCAGCTTGTCTTCCAGCTCTGTTGAAAACTGCAAATTCTATTAAATGCTGTTATGCTAGGGTATTACAACAAGGTATTTTTCAGCTGTACGGATATTATCATTTAATTCCACTACTAACAGAAATGTCATCTTCTAACCAATTATTACCATCTCCTTTTTAGCCTTATTGCTTTCTGGCATTGGTAAAGCATTTGAACATTTCTTGCCACCTACGCTCTTCAGAGTCATTCGCTTGGCCCGAATTGGACGAATACTAAGGCTCATTCGAGCTGCCAAAGGAATTCGAACTCTCCTTTTTGCCTTGATGATGTCCCTACCTGCTCTGTTCAACATCGGCCTCTTGCTTTTTCTTGTCATGTTCATTTATGCCATTTTTGGCATGGCTAACTTTGCCTATGTGAAGATGGAAGATGGCATTGATGATATGTTCAACTTCCAAACCTTTGCTAACAGCATGCTCTGCCTCTTCCAAATCACGACGTCAGCTGGCTGGGACGGACTGCTCAGTCCCATTTTAAACACTGGACCTCCGCATTGTGATCCAAACATAAGTGGTGTAGTAGGTGAATGTGGTAAACCTGCTATAGGCATTATTTATTTTGTTAGTTACATCATTATATCATTTCTCATTGTTGTAAACATGTACATAGCTGTTATTTTAGAGAACTTCAATGCTGCCACTGAGGAAAGCGCAGAGCCTCTAGGCGAGGATGACTTCGACATCTTTTATGAAGTCTGGGAGAAGTTTGATCCTGAAGCAAGTCAGTTCATAACTTTCTCTGCACTTTCAGACTTTGCAGATGCTCTGGCTGAACCTTTACGTGTACCAAAGCCAAACAAAGTTGAACTCATATCAATGGACCTGCCCATGGTCAGCGGGGACAGGATCCATTGCTTGGATATTTTGTTTGCTTTTACTAAACGAGTGTTGGGAGACTCTGGGGAAATGGATGCTCTGAAAGTACAGATGGAGGAGAAGTTCATGGCTGCCAATCCTTCCAAAGTATCCTACGAGCCAATTTCCACTACACTTAGACACAAACAAGAAGAAGTTTGTGCCACTGTCATCCAACGTGCGTACCGGAGTCATTTGCTTCAACGCTCCATAAAGCAGGCTTCTTACTTGTACCATCACAGAACTTCCAGTGGTGATATTCTTGGAGAGGATGCTCCAGAAAAAGAAGGACTTATTGCATCTATGATGGATGAGAACTATGGTAGGAGCCTAGACAAGTCTGAAACTTTGTCCTCAGCATCTTCTCCTCCATCATATGACAGTGTCACAAGAGCCAGTAGTGGCAATCTCATGGTTGAGAATGAAGAATTTGCAGATAATCAACAATCTTCAGGTATTAAATAGTGTATCAGTGAAAAAGTTGTCAAGAATATTTTAAATGTCCACAAAAGCTGATATAACTGAAGCAGTTTCCGCATTAAATATGAAAGAAAATTTGGTGACCAACTTCAGTTAAACATGGTTGAATGTAATTACTTGACTGTGGCAGTTGCTAAGTTTGGACTCTGCCATATTCAGCTTAGTTCAATATTTATAAATGCAGAAACAAAAGCTGCGAAAGGTTTTGGTGCCTGTTTTTTTTTTTCTTTTTCTTTTTATCAACAAAAGCAGCTCCTCCAGTACCTGAGTATTGCTGTGTATGCACAGCAGAGACAGACATGCCTGCTGAGATTACACCCATTACCCCAGTTTAAGAGCTAGGGAGAAGCTCAAGCTACAACAGAGCTCCGATAGAATAGGGAAAAGAATGTCAATTTTACCATAAATAGAGAAAAGGAGAAGAGCTAGTATTTACCCTGAGTTTATCCTTAATTAATACCCTATTTTTTTAAAAAAAAACTGTTACACAAATGATTGTTTACGTCTTGGGTTGGATATATCACAAAAATAGCCACTGCATGATAAAAAGGTATGCCACGCCATACTGGACCTCCTCCAATATGATGAACCTACAGAATAAGTTATGTTATGTATGCTATTGTACTTGTGTTATTGCATAATGAAATAATAAATGCAACACAATATTCCAGAATTTGTATTGGACTGAGTAAAAACTTGTTTTATATTTTATCAGTGAGGATATTTTTTGTCCAGCAATGAAACTAAGGCAACTTTGCTTCTTGTCTTCCTACCAGCCAATCCCTACAAAATTTTGTGTTTGTTAGATGCTTTCCTTAAACTCTACAGAATGGCTAAATTAGATGATCAAGCTTCCTGCTAATGGATAATGGGGGACAGAGACAAATAGACAGGCTCACTGAGGGGAAGTCAGCAACAGGACTTCAGCCACTTCACTAGATATCAGAAATGAGGAAGCTCCACATGGGTCCCATCAATACTGCCCTTGGTCATGGTGGTGTGTGTCAGCCATGGCCTTGTGGGGAACCCTGAACCTATGACAAAGGTTCTCTTGGCCTTTGGGCCCCTTTGGTTGTAGGTGAAGCACTCAGGGTGAGTCATCCCCCCTCTTGCTGGCACTTCTTCAATGGAAAGGCTCGTTTGCTTTAGTGAAGGGCTGGAACTAATTGAGGTAGTGACAGTGTGGATGGCTAGGATTTGGGTTGAAGCATTTGAGCTTGGAGTTAACATGAGACTATAGATGTAATCATAAATTCCTTTCTCTTGAAAACAGGTGCACACCTGTTCTCTTATAATCTTCACCATACGTTTTTAACCTTCTTTAGGACCTTGCTAACTTAGGATGCTTCTCAGAAAGACGCATGACCACATTGTAGTCTGTCTCATGCCTTCTGTGTACACACTTTCGAGATACTTTTAACTATGCATTTTGCTGCCTGGCGTCTGATGTGTGATCCCTCATTTCATGTGCTAGGCATGCATAGTCATAAATTTGTCTTGACATTTTAATCGCCTGTTTGAGTATCAAACATGTTATGCGCAAGTCAATGTGAGATGCTTTGCTTTCGTAACTCCCAGTCTGTAATCTTGCAGTCATTGTTAAGTTTGGCAAGTTCTGTCAATCAGTTCTCCCTGCACTGATTTCAGACGGAAAGAAAAGTAGATTTAATGACTGACTGGGGGCTCAGCTCTGGGTATGAATCTGCTGTATGCTCCGTGTGCAACTTGCAAGGCAAATCACCACTCTAAAGCCGTAGTTCTCTGTTCATCGTTGCCACCTTCCTCTTCTGCCTTTTTCACTTCTTCAGATTGTGAGTTCCTTGGACAAAAATAATCTTTTATTCTGAATGTTAAATTGCACTTTGATAATGGGACTCTTTTTTTCAGTTGAGGCTGTCTGAACACAGACTATAAATAAATAATATTTATAATACCTTCTAATTTTTATTTTCTCTGTGGTATTCTGTTAGCTTCTCCTAGCTACTCCTGACATTGTAGCATCTCTGATTAGTTTTGACTAGTACTCCTTCATATTTTAAGACTGACGCATAGTGAACCATCTGTTTTATATCAGTGAAATCTATATTTTAGTGGCTCTGGAATGGTGGTAGACCTATTCCTTCATATTAAAAACTAAAAATAATTAATAAAACTGTAAAGAAATGTTTTTACTTGGCTAAAATATTTCTTTTTGTTAAACAGTCATCCAATTTGGGGCCCACCAAAATTTAGGAGTGGACTACATCGCACAAACAAGACTGTGTTTTCCAGTCTAACTTGCCAGATGTCTACTCCCATGATGTGCAGAGTCTGTCAAGAAACAATAATGAGTCACACTCACCTTTCTCACTGATTTGGGCATACACAGAGTAGTTCTGACACCACATCCTCTCAGGAGATGAAATATGCGAACACATGCATACCCAAAGGCAGCAAAACTCATCTTTGCCAGTTTCCTGTGCTAGGAAGAGTATTCTTGCCTTGTATATGAGTAGGTTTATTTACAGTTAGCGCCACACAAGCCTCACTGACATCCAGCTTTCTGGGAAGGCTGTTCAGAAGCTGAGTCAGAGCTGTACTAGCAGAGGAAGCAGGATGGTGCCCTAATGAATCCATTATCAGTACAAGGAAATACAAGTAATTCATAAGATGCATTTGCCCTTTGCAGAAACTTCTCTGAGTAAAGGTTTTGGCATGTTTTCCTGTTCCTTGTGGGTCTTCTCTGAATCCTCATAATTTTTGGATCCCTCCAACATCCTTTTTGTAATCATAGTTTCCTGAGACAGCAGGATGGTGTACAGTCTCATTTCTAGATGATCTGCCTTCCATGTGGCCATGCTGAATGGCATTTCATTTGTTTGCCCCCTTTTAGATAGCTGAATTAATAACCTCTTCTCTTAAACAGTTACCTCTTCTGTAATCTACGTATGATTTACAAATTTTCACCACAAAGAGGTCACTAGTTTTTTTAAAGAGATTACTAGCAGAGACAACAAAAACTTTAGGGCTGAGAGTATTTCCCTTGAACCACATATGAGAAACCTGGCTCAATAACGACATGTTTGTTTGTTCCTTTGATAGCAACAATAAAAGGAAAATATAAGCTGAGGAGAAAAGTACTTAAATAAGCACTTAAACAGAATAGTCATGAAAAATTACCCTAGAAATTAGAAGTAGCTTCTAGTCTTCAGAACAAGAGGTTGGGAAGTTGCATTGCTAATGTGACGAAGAAATTATATAGTTATAAATTTCTTCATGGGATTAAGTGCCATGGCACTTTGCCAGAGGCAGTATGAGCCAGCAGACCCCTGGACTCCTTCTAGAATCTGCAAACTTCCTAAAATTGTCACCTCAGGCTGGAATGTGCAACAGATCAACAGTTACAGCTTTGAAACTTGTTGAATACTTCCGCCTAGTGGTTTCAAATCAAAACAACATATTCACAATCTGAATGAGTTGGAGCCTGTGTCTAAGTATAGGGATTGAGACCTAAACAGAGAAAAAAACAACAGTCTTAAGAGTATTAGCAGCAGAGAGCTTAAAGGGAGTGGTAGAAAGGGCTATTCAGAAAGAAGGCAAGACTTTAAAGTTTAGAAAATAAATGAGAATTTCCAGTATAAAAAAAGAACTAGAAATTGAATTGAAACAATAATAAATTATGCATCAGTTATATAAAAAAAGAAAAACAAAGAGGATGTGGGATTGATTAGGAATGGGGCAGTGAGTAGATTTTGGACATCATTAGGATAACAGATGATATACTTTTATATGTGTGTGTGTATGAATATGCAATATTTAACCCTAATCTATTATATAACTCCTCTATATAATCTTTAACCTCTATATACATGCATACCTATTTTCAATAAAAAAATTATATTCAACTTGAGATTAAACTTGCCTCTGGTTAATATGAAAAGTTTATATAGAAATGTGAGCACATTCATGGATGAACATGAAAGAGAACAGAAACTAATCGAGTTGGTGGCCAGAATAATCCCTATTCAAGAATATTCTTCAGAACTGGCACATGAGACTGCAATTCTGTCAGAAAGCCTTTTGCACAAATCTGTCAAATCAGGAATGGTAGCAGGAGGGGGAAAAAAATAAAGCATAATGGTTGTATTTGAAAAGGAGGGAAAAAGCAATTCAAGCAATCACAGGCTTACTAATCTGAACTCAGTATGATCCAAGGCTTTGGAACGCATTCTGGAGGCAAACTAATGAAAGACATGAACACAAGTGGAAAATGGAATAAAGTATAATGGAAATATACTTACTAAGGAAGAAGAATACAGCAGGTCTCGTCTGCTGGTGCTCTAATAAAGCAGTATCAGTTGGCAAGTTGATGGTTAAACTAGAGATGAGTGGCATACAAGAGCTGTGGCATTTTCAGAGGGAAGTCGGCATTGTGAATGATCTCCTGGTGGAAGAAATATAGATCAATTGGATCTAGCTATACTTTTATCCATAACGTGTACAAAAACGGCAGCACTTTGAATAAGATAGTGGGGCCAAAAATCCAGTTGAATCATCTCAAATACTAGAGTTTGAACAAAATGCGCCAGGATGCAATGTGAAGTCTTCTACCAGGGCCAAACAGGAGTGTTGCTACCAGGCGATGGACACTGCAGGGCACCACAAAAACCTCCATGTATTATTGAAACAGCTCAGTTGTGATCCATAAGGTGATGCACTCATGAAAGAGAGAAAAGTGAGGTAAGATTTATCAGCTGAGTTATGGCCAGTGGAGTTCTGACCAGTGGCTTTCTAATAGTCACCTGAAAAACATGGGTGAGATTTCGTCTGCACCAATGTGTGCATCAATAAATAATGCTCAGGAAAGACTCATATGAAGCAAATGAGAACTGAAGGGCTCCTGCGATAGTCAAGGGATTAGAAAGGCTTTAGAAAGAATCCTGAAAGCTGAGTTTGTTTAATCCCACAAAATGAAAGTGGAGAGGAGATGTGATTGTTCTTGAGAG